GTTTCGTGTCTCCGTGAGGGCGTCCTGGCCCTGAGCGTTCCCTTTCCCTGTTCCTCGGGGACTCCACCGTGCTCTGAGCCGCCGTCCGTGTCATGCGGCAGGCACGCTACAGACTTAATGTAGAAAACGGAGATAATTTAATTTAAAAATAATGTCTGGCGGGGGTGTTAACTGAGGCGTTGTTTCAGGGAAGACAAGAACCGGGCAGTTTGTTGAAACCCAGGTGGATTTCTCAGCATTTTCACCGTGTTGTGGAGACGTGTGGGATGGAAGCCTTGGTTGTGCAGAGCTAGGGGGAGAGGGTCGGTCCTGCTCGTGGTTATTTTTTCTGAAAATTCTGGCGGGACCGTTTACAGATTGACGGGTACTGTCTAGCAGCCCACCCTTAGAAGTGGTGTTTCTGTTTGCAGTGGGTGTGATATTGATAGGGACTTAGAAGGGCCGTTCTGAGAACTGAGCACAAAACACGTGTCCTTTTGTTTTACAGTTTCTTACCTTTTCAGAGCGCTTAAGCAATGTTAATATTGATGTTATTCATCGGATTGACAGAACTGGAAGCTATGCTGAGGTGAGAACAGCAGCTGCAGTCATTTTCTGAATTCACATCACAAGTAGATGTGCTCTGTGAAAGATTCACTCAATACATTTATGCAGAAGGAAACTGGAAATAAGCCCCTGCAAGAGTTCCCTTTCCTGGAGACACATTTCATGCTTTGTCCCCCTTTACTTTTTGACCTGCTTCATAGTATTGCCATAGGGACTCTTTGACAGTGCACCCTAATGGCTTCATCATGGCTGGTGGGCCTGTGGGTGCTTCTGAGCATGGAAGGCACTGCTGTGGCTGTCAGCTGTCCTAGGCCTGGACCTGCAAAGACTTGCAGTCAGTTGGGTAGTTGCAATACTTGCAGCATGTATAGAAAGCATGTCTCTTTATAGACCCATAAAGAAGTTTCATTTCTGTGTGTCCTATAGATCATCATTGTGATTATAGTGCTTTGCAGGTTATTACCTTGTGGCCTGCAGGATTGTTCTTCTGAACTTCCTGCTCAATAGTTCTGAGGATGCCAAAAGAAATCCCAAAGCATTTGTGCTTGGTGGTCCATGGCTCAGCATCTTCGATTATCAAGGCCAGTCAGCAGAGATCTAAAAACCAATTATGTAAACAAGTCCTGAGACCAGAAAATACTTTCAAATGTGTTTGGAATATAGAAAGAAAAGTCTTATTAGCAGATAAATTCTATAACACTTTTTGAAATTAAGTCATCAAGATTCCTTGAAATATTCTTTAAATGTTTAAGGCACTTGATACTTTTCTTCATTTGAACTTGTCATCTTTGGAAACTATGTACATTGGGGTTTGTAGCTATTATTTTATCTTTGTTTTGACAGGAGGTTGAAACCTACTTTTTTGAAGGACTACGGAAATGGAGGGAATTGAACCTCAGTCAACATTTTAGTATGTCTTTTTTGTCATGTTTCCTGCTTTGCTTAAATGGTTAAAATATGGTTTTTCTGCATCCAGAGCCCAGTGGGTGATTTCCTAATGAGTAATTTTTGGACTGGGCTCTGGAGACCTATTACTCTTTAACATCCTACATGTTTACCAGGAGCTGGACTGAAACTTCAGGGTTTCTCTTTTGTGCTTTGAACAGTGCAATTCTACAGTGAAGTGGCCAACAAATGCCAGTCCTTCAACCAGCTGGTCTATTACCAGAATGCCATTGTGCTGAGCTTGAAGATGCATTTGCAAGTTGAAGGCAGTCTGGCTTATCAGCCCCTGTTAGAGTAAGTATGATAATTTTGTCACCTGTTAAGTATATGGTGACAAAATATAGTCGGAAACCATGATGATATTACAAGTAAGCATGAGTCCTGTTCTGAGTGTTCTTTTTCTTTATTGTACCTGAGGAAAATCTAGCAATGAGAGGTTCAAAGTGGTGGTATTTCCCTGATAGAGCTTTTTGGTTTTAGTCTTCAAGAAAAATAGCTATGACAAGGCAAGCAAATTAGCATGAGTGCTGACTGAATGTCAGACAGAATATTAGTCTGCTCTGTTTAATCTTAATCAGTCACGTCTTGTTTGCTGTTATCTGTTTGCATTTTTTAAAGATCTTATGATTCTTACCATACACAGCTGCCTAACAGGTGATATTTAGATGAAAGTGACAAGCAGAGGTGATGCTGCCTTTCTTTTCAAAGAGACTGTGCTGGATTATGCCATCTGAGTAGAGTTTTCTTGGTTTGTTTTTGAAATGCACTAACACTGATGAATTCTCTGAAACAGTCTAGTGGTGCAGCTGGCTCGAGATCTTCAGAATGATTTCTATCCTCACTTTCATGACTTTTTCCTGGCCATCACCAAGTTACTGGATACACAGGACACAGAGCTGCTGGAGTGGGCTTTTACCTCTCTTTCCTATCTCTACAAATACTTGTGGAGATTGATGGTGAAGGATATACACAACATATACAGGTAAAAGCCTTGTTTAATGTTTGTCGTGATCAGCAGTTACTAGATCCTCTAGAAATGTAAATGCCACACAAATACATGGCTTAATGCTTCAGTACACTTGTTAGTGGGCTTACCCTGCTTTGTGAGAGACTCCGAGGCGTATTAACCTGTGCAGCTCCTTTGAGATCCTGCTGATTTTTGTGGGTCACTGTATTGGAGGAGAAATCTGGGTTGGGCTGCAGATTGGAACCTTCAGTCTCTTTTTCTCCCCTGGGGATAAGAGAGGAAGCATCCACCTCAGCTGGGTAAACAAAGCTCAGAAAGACACTGAAATATCAGAGTTGTCTTGGAAACCTATGGTTAACTCTAAATTCAGCACAGTTGTACCTGATAGTTACTCAAGAGTTTCTCAGTCATAGTTGTATCATTTCTGTCTTTCCCAGTTGCAGACATCTAGATTTATGACATTGATTGGATTCCACTGAGTCTTTAATTGTTCCTTTCCCAGTATTTTCCCCTTTATGTTTTTCCCTTCCAGTCTATTCAGTGAGAGAGCAGATGAGGTGTGCACTGTTTTGTAAGCCTTGAAACTGCCACAGGATGCTGTGGATGTGGAAGGCTGGCATAGATTCAAAGGAAAACCAGCCAAGTTGGAGAGAGTTACCAAATGCATAGGAGCCACTTCTGGCTTGGGGAGTCCCTGAGCTGAAACCCAGGTGGCTGGAGGCTGATTTTGTATGGACTTGCCCTGTTTTTAAACTTTTCCCAGGCATATGTTCTGGCTGCTGCTGCAGACTGAATACTGGGCTGAATGGACCCGTGGCATGAGCCAGCATGACTGCTTCTTCAGTCTTCCATTGCAGTAGTAGCAGGGTTCATTTTGTCACAGTCATGTTGCTTCCTCCTAATTTCAGTTTGGAACAGACGCAGCAAAAGAGGGGTTACAGGCTTCCATCTCAACCCAGCAAAAGCTGTTGAGCATATTGAACAAACTTCTGCTTGGCTGCAAATCTGAGGCACCACTCTGCAGAGAACATGTGCTGAGCCACCTGCAACTGTTACTGATACCTACTAGTGAACTGCAAATATTTATCACCCTTGTAAATTGTACCTGTAGGAATTTTTAACTGCATAGGAGAGCCCGTTGGCTCAACTGAAATCCAGATCTGGCTTATCAAATCAACTTTGGTTTTACTTACTGCAGCTGAGTATATATACTGAAAATTCAACTGGAGTTGAATCTGTACATACAGAGATTTTACAGGTATTTCTGAATCCAGCTTAATTTGTCTGGCATTGCCATTTGGCCTTCTTTGCAAAACTCTGTTCTTTATCCTGGGAGAGTGGGAAAGAATCAAGTTGAGGAAGGTATTTCCCCTCTTTAGGAGGACAGATTCTTAGTGTTTGTAGGAAGTGGCAATCGAAAACAAGTTTTAAAAGCAATTGGTGGCAATTGTTCCGTTGCCTTTAAGACAGTGGATTGTTTTGTCTTTGTAGCCTGTACAGCACCCTGCTGGCTCACCACAAACTCCACATCAGAAACTTTGCTGCCGAAAGTTTTGTCTTTCTGATGAGAAAGGTGAGTGGGGTGTTTGTACTTTGACTGTTTTTATTCTGTGGTGGCTCTTGGATTGAATGCGTATTATTAGGTAATGCTGTGTAGTATTACATTTTCTCCAAGAAATGGTTAACAGGGCCTGAACGGGCATTCAGCATGTCCTGTGTTGTCATTTTTAGTGAGCACTTTACTGAGAATGTCATGCATTTCATCAGTAGCAAATAGAAGCTTTAGCACTCTCTTTTTTAGGAGCAGTTAAACCAAATGTCTGTAGTTGTTTTAGCTAAAAAGACTAGCAATGGTAAGGTAATCTTGCAAAAGTGGGGTTTTAATTTGCTCACTGGGTTTTTCACAAATGCTTTAAAGCCTTTGTAGAACAGAAATTCTTGTGACCACCTTTTTGCACTCTGGAAAATCAGAGTATGTTTCAATCAAGATTAGACAGCAGCCTTTCATGGAGTGAGGGAAGGGAGTGGTAGGTGTTGGGTTTTATTTAGTCAAACTATACAAAAGCTAGGATTCCTGAGGCTGACTAGCAAATTCCAGTATCCTCATTTTTGTCCTAAGTTTCGAGACAGTACTAAACCACTTTTGTTTGATTGGGGTTTTTTTGGAAATTGCTGAATGTCAAGTCAAATCCTCAGAAATTGAGAGTTTTAAAATCTTGGGCCAGAAGTCCTTGCTGTATTCCCATGTGTGGTTATAGATTTGCATGACTGGATTCTGTGTCAAGTTGATACATGTCTCTTTCCACACCAGTGCAGCACCCTTTGTGTTTCAGTTGGGACCAGTTTAACAGTGCATTTATGCACATATTTAACTCTTAAGATCATAATAATCACATTTCGGTTGCAGTGACCTCAGCAAAGCTATGTATATCTTGCCAGGGGCGAGGCTAGTAGTGACTGGATAGCTGATAGTTTTTCTCCTATCAATTTCCTTGTGCAGTTGCAGAAATAATGAGTTTGAGCTGTTGTGGGAGGGCAGGACTAGGAAAGTCATGTGGTGCTGTGGAGCCATTTAAGTGTCTCTATCCATCTGGCAGCTCTGAATAGAGGATAACTATTTTTTTTCTTCTTATGTTTTGTAGGTTTCTGATAAAAGTGCAGTCTTCAATTTAATGTTCCATGACCTGGGGGAGCACCCTGAGAAGGTGGAAGGTGTAGGACGGCTACTTTTTGAGATGTGCAAGGGTGTTCGAAACAGGTTTCACTCTTGTGCAGAGATGGTAAAGACAGGAAAAGATTGCTGGTTTAAACTGTTGGTGTAATGGAACCTTAGGCAGCATTCAGCGAAACCATTGAGTGTTGTCTGCTTCACCATGGTGCATCTGTGGTGATAAGCATGCTTTTCGCTCCTTAATAAGGTCTGAATGCCTTCTTCTAAGAATATTTTTTAGTAATTACAATTCCTATATATTAAAATAGTAGTACTTGCTGATATTTCAGATTTTAAGTGATAGCTTTTTTTTTTTCTCCTGTAGTTCTAGAAAGAATCAAGATCACTGGAATAATTCAGCAGTATGTTGCAGTAACTAATTTTAGGACTGCTAGATTTATTTTCTAAGTACAGGGACATGATGTGTTTTTTTTCCTGTGCAGGCTATGAAGTTAATTCTGTTAAAGCTGGGGCCTATTACTGAAGAAGAAATTGAACTACCATGGGTAACTGTAGGAGAAGCCTTTGAGCAGATGATGAGATCAGCTGTAGTGCATATCCATAAGGAGCATTTTGATATTGTCTTCAAATGCCTGGAGGTACATTGTTTTTATTTATTTCTATTCATAAGAGACTGAAAAGAAGTGTGTATTTGTCAAGAAAAGTATTTGTGGTTTATCGGACCATAACTGTTTGCTGTGGTGGTTTGTTTTTTTGCTTTTTTTTTTTTCTGCTTTAAAGGCATTAACTACAGTGTCATGTGTATGGGAAAAATCCCACCCTTCTTTTGTAAGTTTGGTGTCACCCTGGTGGCTGTGCTGTGAGTAAGGAGGTAGCTGCTGTGTGCAGGACTTGGAGCTCAGACCTATGGCTGGGCAAGGAGGGTTGGTAGCATCTGCCTTTCCAGACATCACAGACCCCTTGCTGGGGTGGGAATGCTAGGGCTTGCTTTGTGATGCTGAACTAGGCATATTGGTGGTTTCAAAATCTCGTAGTGTGAACAAAGGGGAAGCTTTTGGCCTTGAAGCTCTCTTTACAGCAAAGACCTGGGCTGAACCTAGAAAACCAGGCTGAAGCCTCAAAGCCAAGTATTGGGAATTAGTGTTTTCAGTCCAGCTGTTCCTGTGTTACTGCTTGGGAGTTACACTCTGAGGTTTGAGGGAGCACAGCTGAGTGCTGTGGGCTGTGCTGTGTTAGGTGAGGGTGATGCAGAATAATGAGCAAGGTCCCGACAAATGTTTTTTACTTACCTGACCAACGTCTAGGTGTTTTCTATCTAGTGATAGGGATTTGCTAAGGGAGATTGAAACCTCTTGCAACTGACATCATAGTCTGTGCCAGTTGTGCACTTCAGAGGGATGAAATAGGGAACTGGAGGAAATAGTACATGTGAACTTTAGGGTAGTCCTTCCAGAATAGGTAAATAGTCCTAGTTGTCCGTTATGGGAACTCCCTCCCTTTGACTGTCCATAGTTCCATAGAAAATACTGTCTCGTTCCTCCTATCTCACCCGGTATGACAGCGGTTATTGCCTGACTGACATTAGCTACATAATTGTTTGCCAGTTGGTGTTTTTATCCTTGGAATCTGAGTTGCTCAGCTTTTGCAGCTGAGATGAAATCTTGGAAATTGGTAACATAATTCCCTTTCTTCTTAATGAGGCTTGGGTCTTTTTTTACCCTGGGAACCAGCAGGTGCCTGGGGTTGTCTTACTCAGTGGGAAATAATCACATAGTCTATCATAGATCTCTAATTTGGTTCAGTTTATAGGATGAAGGATGGAAATTTAAGGATTGAAGTTCACATTCCCTGAACAGAAAGGGACAGTAATGGGAGTGATCCAGAGCACCTCCATTAGCTGTGTAATGATATGAGTAATCTCTCAGCATCCACATTACGTAACGATGCATAAAATGTAAAAGTACTTCAGTTCTGATAATTCAAGTGGAAGCTGGATACTATTGTGGGTCTGGGGCCAAGCGTTCCTTTCTCTTCCTCTTTCCTACTTTGTATGTAGTATGTTGGCCTTGCAGGAGACCCCCATCTTAGGAAGTGTTTGTGTTTCTGTCCAAGGACTCTGGGATGTGTGTTTTTACATAATGGGAATCACAAAGTATTTCTGCAAGGTTTTTGCTGAACGTGAATGAGAGAATCTGCAATAATTTGTGAGGTGGATGAGATGTTGATTCTTTAAAATGCCTTTCAAACAGCAGGAAGTGAAATAGGGTCTGATAATTTCTCTGAAACATTTTGCTATCCTTTTATATTTAAACAGGCATCACTCTTAGACTTGCAGAGGAAAATAACGAAGGCCAACTGCTGTATGGCTTCAGAGCAGATGGAAAGGATTCTGCAGGCTTATCTGATCCTAGTGGGCCATGCAAATGGATCCAAAATCTCAGTGCCTGAAGATGTCTGTCAGGTAGGTCAGACCATCACTTTGGCTGGCATGCCAGAGAATTATCAATTGAATATGGAAGAGCTGTGGTCAGCTGAAGCACTTTTTGGGTTCAAGTGTAGGTTTAGTGCCTTCAGACTTTGACAGGACTCTTAGGATTCATTTCTGTGGGCTGAAGTTAAGAGCACTGTGCCTTCCTTTTCCAGGGACTGTCCAGGTCATTCAGACCAGACAGTCACTGTCATCATAGACGAATATCAGTTCTCTCTTTCATTTCAGGTTTTAATAAAAATGTTACAAACACCAAATCTCTCATCATCTTGCTGCAAGACCCTGCTGAACACCATTTCTGCGTTCCTGCTGGCTGAGAACGTTTTCCTGCCTGATCCTTTGACCAAGGAAGCTATTGAGAAGGTAATACCAGGAAGTCCCAGAGTTCAGGTTCCCTAGAAGAGGCCGATTTCAGGATACTCCACTTCAGGCTGGGAAATAAACTATAAGGTTTGCTTTAGCCTTCTTGCACAGATAAGGGAGAAACTGACCAATGCCTTAAATAATGTCTGCTGAGGTCTTGAGACTCCTTGACGATCTTAACTAGACCACCAGTGTAGCAAGGCCGCTGTGGCAGACATCTTCGCAGTGTCAACCAGGCTCTCATTCAAACACCTACAGCCTCTGTAGAGATAGGAGGGAAAACAGAGAAAGGGACAGGTTCTGCCTTAGATTATAAAGCAGGTCATTGAGCTTGACTTGGTGAAAAAAGTACATATTTTCACTAAGCTGTCAAGCATTTGGCAAGCAGGGCTTAGCTTTGTGGGCAGGGTTCAGGCAGGTGCAGTTTGGTTCAGAAAGTACAGGGGTAGGTCTGTTTTCACTACTACCATTGCTCCTGAAACATTGACAGAATTAGCTACGCACATTGATATCAAATGCAGTGTTGCAAAGATTAATAGGAGATGCTACTAAGGAGTCTGATTCTTCAGTTTTCCTGTTAACAGTACATTATAATCTTGCAGTTTACAGTGTGAACCATAGTTGTACTGGGTATGTAAAAAAAAAAATTTGAAAGAGAAGATGTCATGTGGTTTACTGTGGAGAACAATGCTGCTGCAGTTGTTTAAAAAAAAGATCAAATGTCATCTTGTCTTCGGCATTGGCTTGTGTTGAAGCAAGATTAGTTCTGCCTGTAGCATGAGTCCAATTTTACGTGGGAGATGTGGTCCTTCAAATGTATGAGGATATTTGCGGGGAGTTCAGTTAAAACAGAGGAGGCTTAAACCTGTCTTTGTCTTCTGAAGAGTGTGGGAAAAGGGAGATCTAGGTGTGTATATTTTTGTGTTGCACATCTCGGTGTTGAGGAGCACTTATCCTAGGTATCTCAAAGGAGGGCTGTTCCTTTCTTAAGTTCTCAGAAGCACAGAAGTTGGCTTTGCCCATGAGGTAGTAAACTTTCTGCAACCTGCTACATAAGAAAAATGCTGAGTTAAAAGATCTGAGTCTAAGCTTTTTCCTACCAGTTGATATATCTGTGCTGCAGTCCCAGAAATCTCAGCTTACGTTTTCCATGCTAAAGAGTGAGTTAGCAGTCTTGGTCTAGAGTCATGGCAGAGAACAAACTTGGATGCAGCAGGGTTTGTTAAAAAGAGCTGTGCTTTTCTGTACCTGAACTGCCACTGGAAACAGTATTAGTGTGTGTGCCTGAGCTAACAATCCCTGCTAGCTGTGAACAGAGAGCCAGGCTGGGTGTCTCAGTGTTCAAAGCATGGTTGATTCATAAACCAGAAAAAAAGGTCCCATGGGTAATGGAGAGTTGACTGTGAAATAGTTCTTGTTAATTTGTTCCTGTCAGCCTTTCGTTTGCATCTTGCAGGTATTTGCAAGTGGATTTGAACGGCGCTTCCTATTGGACTTCTCTGAAGCAATGTTCACAATGAAGCAATTTGAGATGGTAGGTGGAAGATTTTTGCCTTTTGTTCATTTTTGTTGCTAAAGGGAACAACTGGGAAATGTACAGTATATTTACCTGCCTTGTATGCTGAAATATTTTTGTGTATTGATGTGATGTTTTCATAAACGTCTGGCATGGTCTGGTAAGAATGACAGAGGTTACTTTTGCCATCATGTTGAAGTTTTCTAATGGTGCCCAGGGAAGGTGGCAAGTAATTGTGCTCACAGAAAGAAGCTTTTCTGTTTGGAATTAGAGAGGTGGGCTTGTTATGGATGGGGTGAAGAGAAGGAGTTCTGGAGAGGGTAGGTGGAAATGAAGACTAAGGAATGTCTGATAGGTCAGACCTGGAGCTTCTGATCTAGGAGGAATCAAATTGAGTGGGAAGTGAAAGTAAAGTCAGGGATCTGAAATGTCGTAATGAGGCTAGATTTTGGGGCAAACTGCATTTTTACATCAAATCACTGTCTCTGCTGGAGTAAGGGCATGCCTGTATGCTGTTGTCTTGGGGCACCAGGACTGTTAAGTGTGGTGCTTTACTGGGTTGTTTGTCAGTGTTTGGATTCGTCTGTCGCTAGTGTCTTGTGTTTTTTGTCAATTTAATCACTATTAAAAGAGACTTACCAATCTTTATATTTTGCTTTTTTTTTTTTTGTCCTTTTAGCATTTTCTTCCATGCTTTCTACAGTACATTGAGCACTGCTTCTCTGACACAGATGTGCTCACAAAAGATGAGGCGATGGCAATTCTGGCTAAACTCATTCTGGTGAAAGCAGAGCCTCCTACCATTGGTTCAATGGCTTTTGAAAAATATCCTCTTGTTTTCGCTGAATCATCCATCAGGTGAGACTTCTCAAGTTTAGCAAGCACTAGATGTGTCTGCCTGGCTGCAGGCCTTAAGGTGGTGCAGAGCTACATGAAAGTTGCCCCCCAGTATTTGCCTGGTTGCATTGCTGGCAGATTTGTAAACCAACTGATACAGTAGGATCCCATTTTTCTTTATGAGATGATTTGATAAGAGATACCGCTCTAGAAAGTTTATATAAAAAGACTAGTGAGTGTTGTGGTAGATGTGTGAAGGGGATGTTTTACACCCACATGCATGCTGCAACCTTGGGCAGTTTAATCTTTGTTGTGAGTGCTGAAGTCCAGATTTGCATCATTACTAACCTGCCTGTGCCCCATCTTTCCTGCCTGTATGGGTGCATATTGGTCAGGAGCTTTCTTGGCAGCAGTACTATAGTCCTCCCATAGAATACAGTTGGTTACCAAAGGGCATGTCATTAATCTACATACAGCACTGTGCTGGCACAGCTTGACTGCTTCTGGTTGCAAAGCTAGCTTTGTTGCAATGGAATGATTGCTTTCCCCCTGGAGCCTCGTTGGAAAGATCTGGTGTAAATACTCTCAAGCACAGAATGACTACTGCTAATCTGCTGATAACAGTTGTTTTGATCATTCTAGCTCAGATAATTCAAAACTTTCACCTGCAGGGGGATAACTTGTATTGCCTTTTATGTAAGGTTTTATCTTTCCTGAAAGCAATCCATTCTTTGGGGTTTTCCTTTTTTTTTTAGTTCATAGAGTGGAGGTATTAGAGCTTAGGGAATGGAAGGCTGAGTCAAAATAATTAAATTTTATTTTCTTCCCTTGTTTTCTTTGTCTGTTGATCTCTGTATTTTCAGTGGTATGGATACATACCTGAGAGGACCTTGGTCCTGCCTGGGACTTTTTTGTGCTCCAGCATTTTCAGTGGTAGAAATCAGGGCTTGGAGACATCTCAGGTGCCACATACCCCATCTCCTACCTAGAATGGAATTAGCAATTTCTGAACCAATCATGGAAGATGTATTAAATTCTCCAGTTCTGGAGATTCCCAAGCTGCCCCTGGCAGTCTTTGCCAGCTCTTTGCTGTCTTTATGGCTACACAGATGTCTGGTGGTTGTTAGGTTGGTTGGTTGGTTTGTTTGTTTCCCCAGACCTCAATGTGTGAACTAAACATCCTTTACTGCAGTTTAAATCCTTTGCTTCTTATCTTCAGGGAACATAAAAAGCAGAATATTTCTTATGCTTTGCATCCAGCTTCTACAAATAAGTCTTTGATCATCAGGAACATCTCAAATCTTTCTGTGGACCAACAATCCTAATTCCTTGAGATTTCTCTCATAAGTTTTCTTTCTTAAACCTCTAATGATTCTTGAGACTTTTTGTTAGCTTCTGTATTCCTTGATGGGTGGAGTCTGTCACCTTCTAACTGTGGTCTTGCAAGTACTGGGTGGAGTGGAAAAATTATTGTCCATGGGGTGTGAAGTACTCCTGTACCAGGATGATATTAACCACTCCTACATGCAGATAGGATTTGTTGATCTGTGCTCTGGTTGTGATTCCTTTTAAGTCCCCAAACTTTAACACAGAGATGTCTCTCAGGTGCACCTAGAGTCTAGATATACTAGTTGTAAGGATGTCCAACTGAGAACTAGTCTCTTGCCTTCTCAAAATAGAATTTGAACTTGAAGTAAAGTCCTCACTTTTCTTGTGGGACATTTTATGTTCCTCAGCACAACGATGGGATATTTTATGCTGTGGAGGACATGAAAAACAAAACAATAATATCTTGGCTTAAGTTCTTTCTGCTAGAAGTAGCAAATATAATTTTGAATATGATAGGAGGAAAAGGAACAGTCTCTGATATGTAGTGATGGATTACTAAAAGGTTTGGGTTTATTTTTATCTCTGATACAAGGCAACAAACAAATGAAAGACAAGAAGGAAAGACAGAAGTACCAGTGTTGGATCATGTGCTGTCTTTAATCCATTTACCAGAGCAGGAAGACATCTCTGACCTTTCACAGCCTTGGGTTGCCTTGGTTGTACTGCCACATATTAGGTAAGGGATCTTCTAAGGTACTGTTGACACATATTTCTGTAATATTGTCTAGTTGACGGTCTGTCAGGAGTCATTTAACCAAGAGAAGGACAATAACAGCTAACCATAGTTTGGGGAAACTGGGATTAGGAGGTGAAAAAATGCTGTGCGGAAATACCATGAGTCAATAGTAAAGTCAGGAATAGAATATCAGTTTCTTGCCTACTCCCTAAATTTAGTACTCCAGTACATACAGATCTTCTTTACATGTTTCAGTTTCTGTGCTTTAAACAATGTTCTCTCTAGACAGTATTTGTTTGGGTTTTTTGGTTGGTTTTTTGTTTTTTTTTTTTAATAAATGTGATGTTCTCACATGTAAATAATAGTTGGAAAGGAGGTACAGTGAAGGCTACAATGTAAATCTTGAATTGGAAATGGCAAAAATGGCTTCCTGCTGGTTTCGAATTTGGGGTGAGCTATCTGTAATTTAATACAAGATAGATGTGAAAGAAAGCATTCATATGTGTGTAGGTGTAGCTGTAACAGAGATAAAAGTCTTCCCATTTATTTTGGACAGACCAATGGACAAAGAAAATGTTCTGCCCTGTGTAACAGGTTTTGTAGACTCTCTCTTCACAGCCATTGACAAAGGAAGCTTCTGCAAAGGTCAGTTACGGTTATTTTCTGTCTATTTACTTTTTGTTGATATCTTAAAAAAATAAAGCGTTTTCTCTGACACAAAGCATGAGAACAAATAGCAGTAGCATTATATCCAGATTTATTGAACAATTCAAGTAAAACTAGAAAAGCAAAGCCTGGAAGGAAACGTCCTCCAGGAAATGATTCTGCATTTGCTTTTGATAATAATAATGAGGTGGCAGATGTTCTGCAAAGTGGAGGACAGAAATAACTGTCTAGAAAAAGAGGTTAGAAAAAAGGATGGAAATCAATCTAAACCAGAACCAGGCTGAAGCAGTCAAGTAAAGGAAAGACTGTTGACTCACAAGTTCCGGTGAGACTATTCCAAACCTATAGTGCAAAGTTTGAGACGTTAACATCTCTGACCTAAGTGACAGCACCAATTCCAAAATGCTGCATCTTTCTTCCAGGCTTGGGTGGTCACTGGTTATCTTCCCTCTTTGGCCAGAAAAAAGGGTGGTGTAGCTGAGCTTGTATTGGGCAGGGGAGTTGTTCCTCAGGGGGAATGCAAGTATTTGGCCTTGTGCCAAAAAGTAGGACCAAGTCTTGGAATGCCCCAGGTTCACTGTTCATTATTCCTTGGTTTGAAAGGGCTTGTCTGGAGCCTGGCTTTTTCCTTTATTAACATTCCTAAATGTGTCTGCAGATATGTTCTGTTGGTTTTTCTTCTCTAGTCTTTGTCAAGCATGGTCCTTTTTGATTTAGCACTTTCTTCTATCCTGTTTGCAGGGTTTGCATGCTGTCATAATTATTTTAGTGGCAATGTATTTATTCTAGAAAAGGAATACCCAGACTTTCTTTTCTTGTCTCATCTGTGGTGGCAGTAGTAGCAGCTCTGCACCAGCTCTGTGTGTGTACAAGAGGCATGTTACTCCTTCTTCATTAGCGAATAAGAGAAAACAAATCCAACTTGAGTCCCACACTCCTGCTTCCTATTGTCTCATCCTACACTTCGTTTGATTTTCCTTATCCTCCTCCCAAACCAGGGTTGCTGTACCTTTCTTCAAACTGCAGCATTCTTTCCAGCTCCATGATCTCTACAGTTGCCCCATCTTGTAGTTAGGACTCCAGTCTCCTTTCACTATGCAAGGTACACTCCAGCCCTGTGCTCTCAGTTTGACCTGCAGGGCCTCTGAGGCAAAGTGCAAGTCTCAGAACTGGGTGTTTTTCTACAGTTGCTGTGGGAGCACAGGGAAGCTGGGTTGTGAACTGGGACAGAGCAGCAGCACATTACCCCTGGCAGCTGTTTGGGGGTGCCTGCCTGTGTGGAAGTGCTTTCCCATAAATCATACAGGTGTGTCACTGTTTTAGTCCAGCACAGATGTACCCAGGGGTATGCAGGTTATACTTAGGGATTTTGTGCCCTTACACTATAGATGCAGAAAGCTTCATCCTGCCACTACTTGCTGTTTCTTCTCTTCTCTTTGAGAAGCTCTTTATGAAGGCTAATGGTGAGCAGGATTCAGCACACACCTAGAGAATTAAGCAACTTGGAGCAGAGGGATGTTTTCAAAGCAATTAGTGGGAAGTGAATGCTTTCTTCCCCTGCTTTTCCGTGGCTTGCAGCATGTAAGAAAATTATATCCTTTAAAAACTTTATTCAGTTTGCCTGGTTTAGAAGCAAGTTTCCTTGTGCTTGGGAAGAGATGAATGAGAGAATTTCTATTTTATTGCCTTTTTTTTTTTTTTTTTTAAACAACCTACTCGCTTACTTACGAGTGTCCCCTTTCTCATCTGGAAGGTCTTTGGCTCTCCTGTGCATCTGGGAAAGCCTCCATCCCTAAAGGAGGCAGAGAGATTGAGGAAGGAGATGCAGTTGCTGTAACAAAATTCGGCAAACCCACTTTCGATTCACTTAGAAATAATCAGTCTTCAAGTACACAGGGCAGTAGTAGCTCCACATCTCTGCTCTCTGTGTCTGCAGGTGTGATGGAAACAGATGCGAACTGGGAGCTGCTCACAGCTTTCAGTATCTCACTGGAGTAGGCACTTACTTTGATAGCCAGAGGAGCATTTCCTTTATGTGTAATGATAGTGGTTAGAAGATACACATTCCAGTTCTGCGGCACATATGCTATCCTATTGCTGTGACTCCAGCATGTTTCAGAATGGGCAAGCACCATACAAATGAAAGTCACTGAATGCTGAGTAAATACACAGGCTGTTCTTGTTCTCTCTCTGCTCCAGGAAGCCTGTTTGTGGCCTGCCAAGCTGTGAGCACTCTTCTTAGTTTGGCAGAGTCTTCTGAAATACTCCATTTGTTACCTGTGGAGCGTGTCAAGAGCTTGGTGACGTAAGTAAACATTGTGATCCTTCATGATTCTCCTTGGTATGCCAGAGAGTTGACTTTGCCTTTCTTGCCCCAAGTAGGGGCTTGTTAAATGCCTCTGTGTGTTGCCTGTTAGGCCAGCGTGTTGCTTTGGTATTTTGGTTACGTACGGTAGCAGTGTTGTAGGCACTATTCGTTTGAAGAACCAGGTAGATGTAGTACCTGTTCAGTAACATTCAACAAACTGAAGCTTTCTTAGACAGCAACAGGATAGTGTGTCAAATATGTTGGCTCTGGTTTTGTCCTGGAGCACTATGCTTAGTAAATGCGTTACATTATAATGATAAAAGAGACAGGAGCAGCACTTTCTGAGCTGTAAAAGCCGGAACTTCTGCAGTCTGTTGGCAGTGCTGGGATTCCACTGTGTCCTTACATACCCACATGTGCTTGCTTCACAATGGGAGGGGAGTTTGTGTGCTCAGTTTTTTTTTATTGTAACTCTCTTCCACTTAAAATCAGCACACCTGACTGAGTGGCTGGAGGGATTGAGGGAGACGGTTGATGTCTCTCCAGCAAACCTGCTAAACTTGTCATCTTCCATCACTGTTGGGCTGAAGCATCTCCAAGTCTTCAGCTGCCCGAGCTTCGAAACATCCTGTTTAGTTAGGAAATCGTGGTGCCCATGTCTGAGGCATGATGGAGATGAAACAGATTGCCCAGATCAAGTGGGAAGCCTTGGCAGCAAGCTTCAGTCTAGTGCTTTTCTGCCAGCTTTGGGATGGAGGTGTGAAACTTGCTTGGTGCATGGGATGCTAGGTAGCAGAAGGATGTTTCCCTATGGGCAGGCAGGATTTCTGGTATCTCACCTAAATCTGGATTATTTCTGTTCTGTTGAAGTTACTCACAGACTGGACACTTGGGCAGTAGCAATCCCTTGTCTGACCTATGCAGGTTTGGTTTCTGCAGCTGGGTGTGTGGGCCCAGCCTGCTAGCCTCAGCTTGATAGGCCTGATTAGTGCAAAGGAGGAATCTCACACCTTGTAGGTAATTGAGCTTTGAGGCTGCAAGCCAGTGTGCTGCAGAAGTCTGACTTCACAGGCCTACTGGTCCTAGCAGAGTCTGAAGTCATGTGGAATTTTCTCTTAATGTTCTTATTGTCACTGCTGTCTTCTTCTCAAATACCTCTATGGCTGCAGCGCTTTCTGTATGCTAATAAAACACTCTGTTGTTCCAGCACTTTTCCTTCAGACCCCTCTGCGTTGCTCTTGGCTGATCTCTATTACACAAGGCTGGCATTGTGTGGCTGCCAGGAACCCCTTTCCCAAGGAAGCCTAATGGACTTGTTTGAGAAGTTGCATCCTAATATTTCCACTGGTATTTCCAAGGTAATCTTTTTTGGTTTGAGCATGTGCAAGGTAATTTGTCTTTTAACAATGTAATTTAAGTAAACTGAGTTAAGATAGCGAAGGCTGAAAGGAGAAAGGTGAGACTGTATAAAGCTATTACTTCCGTAGTTATTTGTTTAGGGCTGTGTCCATTTCTAAGAGACTGCTGTGGGTCATGAATTTACAGAGGTTACCTTGTAGCCCTGCAAGGCTTGCATCTTTCTAGAAGTGAGTCAGAGCAGGAGCCTAATGTATTAATTTTGATTTGCTTGCTAGTTTACAGGACCTCGTGTGTTTCTCAACTTTAGGAGGAACCTAGTGAAATCAGCCTCCTGTGAAAACATTAACCTTTTTGTAGGTGTGTATGTAGCCTGTGTTCTCCTGCTTCCTTCTGACATACATTTCCACTTTGGATAGGTCCGACTGTTGACTGTTCATATTCTAAGCCATTTTGAGAATCCACCTTCTACAGAGGTTGAGGTAAGGCTAAAACTTTTCATTTAGCGTTTCAAAGCCATCTGTGTTTGATGTGTGTGAACTGTTTTCTACATAGCAGAAAGAAAGCCTTTGTCTGGCAGAGGTTGTCCTTTGGTTTTGTGTTTTCACATTCCAGTTTTATCTTCTTGTCCCCTTGCCTCCTGATGTGTTCATATGTGTGAGTTTTGATGCATCAGTGGTGGAAACCAGAGGGTGGAAGCCCTTTGCCTTTGTTCTTTGGTCCAGAACAGCTGAGACTGTGTAGTTTTGTGGAAGAACCTTTCAATGAGAAAAGGATACTCTTAACAAAATGGCATGTCGCCTGTTTGTTCAGACTGATGGCACAGAGGAACTCCAGCCAATATTTGCCATATTGCTCCAAGCAGAACTTGTGCCCGCAACAGTGAATGATTACAGAGAGAAACTTCTCCATCTGAGGAAACTAAGATGTGATATAGTGCAGTCTGCAATACCAAGTGGATCTTTGCAAGAGGTAAGTCGTCGTTGTCAAAAAGCAGTTGTCACATTCTTTTATTCCAAGAGATTGTTCCTCTTCCATCACATGGATTGCAGAATTTTTAACGAGTTCATCACAAAATCAGTTAGCTGCCAGATTCAAGTTTAGGAAATTTACTTGTTAGCAGGGATCACAGCTCCCATTGTCCTTGGCACTATTGTGTTCTTTTGGATATATAGTAGAACAACAGTGGTATCTAGATAAATGGCCCACAGTGAGGTTTGGTATCATGGAAGGGAAGGCAGATGATTCCAAGAAGTGAGTAATAAGCAAATTTAAAATCATGACCTTGCTATATCCTGAGTGTGGTTGAACATTGGTAGGACTGCCATGGGCCATTGGATAGCCTGGCTTCTGGATCTTCTGTCAGGGTAAAAATCTGGTATTCCTGTGACTGTTGAATCTCCTCTGCTGCTGAGGTCCCTTTAGGGGACCTTACTTTATAGCTGTTGGAAGGATCACAATCTTAGTAGTTAAATGATTGTCATGGTTCAACCCCAGCTGGCAACTAAGTGCTACATAGATGCTTGCTCTGTCCCTCGCTCCCTAATGGAATGGAGGAGGGAATTAAAGGGTAAAAGTGACAGAACTCATGGGTTGAGATAAAGACAATAGTATAGCTAAAGCCAAAGCTGCACACACAAGCAAAGCAAGCCAAAGAATTTATTCACTGCTTCCCATCAGCAGGCCATGTCTTCAGCCATCTCCAGGACAGCAGTTGTTCCATAACATGTAGCAGTTAGTTACCCTAACTCTGAACACCACCCCCCCTTCCTTCTTTTTCCAGCTGTGTATGCTGAGCATGATGTCATATGATATGGAATCTCTCTTTGGTCAGTTGGCATCAGCTGTCTCAGCTGTACCCTCCCAGCTGCTTGTGCACCCCCAATCTACTTGCTGTTTGGGTGGGGTGGGAAACAGAAAAGAACTTGATGGGTAAGCACTGCTCAGCAGTACCTAAAACACCCCTGTGTTATCAACACTGTTGCCAGCATAAATCCCAAACACAGCCCCATACTAGCTACTATGAAGAACATTAACTGTCCCAAAACCAGCACAGAGATCATGGACTTGGTGGGAGGTTTTTTTAAGTACTTTTCTGACTGTTGCTGTACCTATGTAATTTTTTTTTTTTTACCTTGACTTTTAAGCTCTTGTGAGGAAGGGTTGTAGGTCAGTCCTCTACTGCATGTAGGTCTGCAGGAAAACAATCCAGAGGACAGGACATCCTAGACTTAGTACAGTGAAGACTTCTCAGGGCAAATTTCCCTTTTTCTGAGGTCCCTAATGCTGCTATGGCAGCCCTGAAGTTTGAGAGGGAGGCAGGCGATCTGGATCATCTGCTGTGCTGAACTGGTTTTTGCACATTCATGGTATGTAGGTGTGGTGACTAGAACTCGCTGCAACTTACAGTAAATGGGCTCTAGATTTCATCATGCAACTATGAGACAAGGAATGAGGATGTGTGTGACTTGCTTCATTACTTGCAGTATTTCTCAGAACTTATGTGATCAGTTTCCTCTTTGAAAGGAAGAGAGGGTAGGGGAGGTTCGTTGATCTTTGACTATTGTTTTTCACATCCCAGCAAGATGGTATTGTATGTCATTCTAGGTGCCTCTTCGGTATTTACTGGGAATGCTATATATTAACTTCAGCCCTCTCTGGGAGCCTGTAATTGAACTCATAACGTGAGTAAATGAGATTGAATGCTGCAATCTGTGGTTGTCTCACAGAACATTCCTTCCATTGTTATATGAACAAAAGCTGATGTAAAAATGTCCAATTTGAGAGATCTGTGCATGAGAATCTTCATGTGAAATTTTCTGAAATTAATTTAATCTCAAATCTCAACCTGCATAAACTCATACTTTTTAACTTTATTTTCTGATTTTTCATATTACTAAAGCAAATTTGCAACAAATATAGTCAAAAACTATCAGAATTTTGAGTCAAAAGTGGCCAGATTTGATTAGTGTTTTAAAAATGCAAGAAGTCCCTTGCAGATCCCTCATCTCTGACTCTTCTGTCCTTACTGGAAAACTTCTAAATTGTACTGAAGAGTGGGGAAGATTTTATATGTTGACAGCTGAGCTAAATACTGAAATCACTGTCTGCTTTTCATTAGAACTTTATCTTCTTTTTTTTTTTTTTCTGTCCTCTATTCTGTGATTAAAAAGAATGGGATTCTTCCTTTCAAACTAGTGAATCAATTAAAAAAAAATATTAAACCAGATTTTCAAAAGATATATCTGTGCTAATTCTTCCTTTGGTTTTAAATTACATTACAGAACAGATATCAGTAGAAAGCTTGAGAACATCTTTACTCAATTTTAATTTGTTTGAAGCCATGATATACTAGATTTTTTTAATAACAATTGACATTTGATATTCAAAAGTAAAGACAAGGAAGTGCTACAGCTGTGTCATGCAGATGTCTTGTCTTCAGATACCCACATGAAAGCAGTGATTGAAGCTTCTGATTGTGTTGGTAGTTTGCCTAGTGACATGACTTTTCAAATTTTCCCTTTAATTTCATGCTGTCTTATGCTTCTATTAGTTCTCATGCAAAGGAAATGGAGAATAAACAGTTCTGGAAGGTCTTATATGAACATTTGGAGAGGGCTGCTACCTATGCTGGTAAGTCACAGCTCCTAAATGTTATGACAGTAACCCATTGTGAATTATATGGCTGTGTTCATATACGCCCCAAATCTGCATATGATGGGGGAATTCAGAACCAATGCTCTTGATTACCAGCATCATGTCCAGCACAGGAATGGAGAGACTCACAGGAAAACTGTGTCCACTTCTGTCCTAAACACCAAGAAGTGGTTAGAAAAGGCACCTGCATTACAGGAAGGATTTGCAAGTTGTGGGAAGCCGTGCAGCAGTTTCAGCCCTGTTCAAGGATGGCTCTCTCTAGACTGATCAGCAGCAATGACAAAACGGGTACAATGGGGCTGACCATCTTTCTACTCCATAGATTCAGTAGAATTCCTGCAAACTGTTGTTCTTAGGTGTGCTCTTGAGGCTTACCTGTGTGTATATGGAATCTATGATCTCAAGATAGAGCCATGAGCACACAGCAATTTGTGAGCTTCTCTGTTATTCAAGAGAACTAAGCTTAATTGAGATGTGCCAGGATTGTAAAGCACCCCACAATACCTTCTAAGCAATGTGGGTCTTTCAGGTCAGTGCTAAATACGGTTGTCTAAACAGGTACACATCACCAGAACTATTACTTCTATTACGTGGAATTGATCCCTTGCTACTGGCAATTATGAAGTAACCTGAAGATATTTTCTTCATGTATTCTATAGAAATGGAGCTGCAAAATGAACTAGATGAACAGGAGGAACACATTGCTGAAACAGATAGCAAGAACATGCCAGGAGGAGAGGTGGAAAGTGTCTTCCTGGAGCAGCTGAGGACTAGAACAGATTGCAGTGAGCGACTGGACCACACGAACTTCCGGTTTCTGCTGTGGAAAGCACTAGATAAGTTTCCAGACAGAGTGGAACCTAGGTCGAGGGAACTTTCCCCACTTCTTTTGAGATTTATTAGGTAAGTAAGGTTTACTTTTTAGTTGCAAGGGCACTTTGCTTTCAATGTGTTGCTGAGCTTTAAGACTATGGTTATCCCATTATAGACTTTATTTCCTGAATGTATGGCTCATGAGACGACTGTTACCAGTTACAATAACCTTTTGGTTGAAATGTGTATTCTGTAAGAAACATCACAGAAGAGGCAGGCTGAAATTAAATGGGCAGTACATTTCTGCTGCTTGGTCTCCCTTTTTGACTTGCCACAGTCACGGCCTCATTACTCTGTTAGGGAGTGATTTCAGTGGAAATAAAGTTCCTTTTTTTAAAATACATTTTTATTTGTAATCACAGAAGACAAACATTTTCCCCAAAGATGGGGAAAACAGAAGTTTTATTAGAGGCTGTTTTAATTTCCTACCCCTGGAGGGAGAGCAGTGGCGTGCTTGCATGTGTGCATGTATCAGGTAGTACGATGCACATGGTGTAGATATGATCTCATGGCAGATGTAGGTTTCCGATACTCCTCTGTGATTATAAAACCTATATTTTGCTTGCTTTCCTGGAAAAAAATGAACCATGCTGTAGTAGGTTAGTTTCCTCACTCACACTGTTCGCCTGCCCCCTCGAGCATACACAACCCCCACACCTTCCATGTAACTTCTTTACAGACCTTTAGTAACTCAGTCATTCTTGTCTGTCTTCTCTCCATGAGGTACCTCCAGTTTCCTTTAGTGTATTTGGTCACACTGGTCACAATTAGATATACTTTGTGTCTCTGCAACATTGCCTTTGTAGGCAATGCAGCATATAATTACTGAAATATGTTTCTTGGGGAATTTTTAGCCATCTAGTGTCCCAAGACACAATGCCATTTATAATGAGAATGGTCAATTGTGTAGCTTTCAGTTGTTGTTGCACTGAAAGCCTGAAAAATGCTGTGCTGCTTAATTCCTTCCTTTTGTTTTTTTTTAAACACAGAAACGAGTACTACCCAGCAGATTCATTAGTGGCTCCATCTCAGGATCTCAGAAAGAAAACTAGTGGTACAGTAGCAGCAAAAGTACCTGGTGAAGAGGTAAATGATGTTGCTAAGGAGGAGGAAGAAGGAGAAAATGAAGAAGGGGAACTGATTACTGTAGGACTACCAAAAAAGAAAACAAGAAGAGCTGCTGCTAAGTGAGTATTTTAGATATCTCTTGATAGTTTTTTTCACAGAGAGGTAGGGTCAGCAGTTTATGTTGAGAGAAAAGCTATGTTTTCATATATATTTTTCTTCTTTTGTTTGCACTTCATAATTTTGCAGTGGATTATAAGCACTTCAAAGTCAGAAACTCTGCCTTGCACAGTACTAAATATCCAAAAACCTTGCCCAGGCTTTATCAGTATCTTATTATTTGCTGACAGTCTGTGGTTTTTTTTAGTTTAAGCAAAAATTATTTGGTAATCTGAAGCCATTGTGAAGTTTTCAGAGGCCACTGTAGCTGCATTTGCCTGGCTTCTCTGTGTCTATCTGTTGATCTTTTAAAACCATGGGCACTGCGAACACTTTGAAAAGTTAGACTATTCGCTTAGTTATCTTAATACTGGGATTCTGCAGTCACCTACCTGTTATAAATCTTGTTCCTGGTTTTCTTCTCAGGGGCAAAGATTTTTCTTTTGGTATTTTAGACTGAAGCTACATGTTGTTGTAATATCATTGTTTACAGTGCTGAATACATGGAGAAAGTGACTCCTTGTATGAATTCTCCACAGTTTCTCTAGTCAGATGCTTTTTACCCTGATGACCTCTATCAAACATCCATTGCAAATACATCACAAGGGTTTGTATTTGCCACTTTTTCTGCAAAGGATGGCCCTTGTAATGACAGAACTTCAAAATGTCACATGTTGGAACCTGACGAGTATTTGATATGTAACCTGAAGTGTCATTTAATCCCAGGTGTCTTATAGGCATTTCATTTTTTTCCTAGATTCTGCCTTGTATCTGCAAATTAGCAGCAGTTAAAATACAGTGACAGTCCAAGATTTTTTTTTTTTTTTCCCCCAACCTCCATTTAAAAATGTCCACCTACTCAAGTTGCAATATTAGTTTCTAGTAGCAGTAATAAAGGCATAGATTTACCAGAAATGTGTTAATGAGTTCTTGAGTGACCTCCCTTTGTCTTCACCCTGGACAGTTCATGCAGCCAGGCCTGTGCAGCAGGAGGAGAGCCCTCATGAGGCTGCTGCCTACAAAGTCTGGCTGAGGAGGACCCACTGCCACCCACCCCAAGCTTGGCATAAGGTTGCCAGAAGGTAGAATACTCATCCGTTGGCTTAGCCCAGCCATGGAGGATGGTGGCCCAGCTCAGTGTCTGGAGAGTTCAGTGTAAACTACCAGGGGGAGCAGCTGGATGAGGACACAGTGCGTAGGCTAGAGGAGATCTCACACCTTTCTTATCCTGATCACCTCTCTTCCACAAAGTGGAAGTGGGGCAGATGTGGGGTGACGCAGCCACTTCTAGAGGAACTGACTCCCATCTGAGCTTGCAGCCCAGCATAAGTCCAGCATAGTCTGCAGCTAAGTGGAACCCTGCACATTAATAGCAGTGAAATGGGCACCAGGTAAGGAAGGACAAGTGAGTAAATAAAGCATTAACTCACCAGTTCAGTGTTGCAGGCTGAGCTGACAGAAGTAAACTGCATCCTTACTCTTTGTGTTCCTTTCTCATCAAAAGCTGAGCCCATGTAGTCCTACTGAGGAAATGGTCTTCTCTGTGCAGTGAAGTGACATGTGGAAGGAGCTACTTAGGAGAGTGAACAGGTTACCTCTTGCTGTACCTGTGAAATGAAGGCCTGTACACTTGAGATCTTGTGTTGTTTTTTCTTTGGTTTTTTTTTTTTTTTTATTAATAACTTTAAGTAAAAGTTCCCTATTTGTTTATGATAACACAGAATTGTGTCTTTTGGTCACTTAAAAACATAATTGTTTTGGTTTGCTTTCCAGGCAACTAATAGCCCACTTACAAGTTTTCTCTAAGTTCTCGAATCCTCGTGCATTGTATCTGGAGCAGAAGTTGAATGCATTGTATACCCAGGTGATACTGTTTGTTGGCTTTTAGAACTACTGCTAATAAGTGAACTCATTTGAATTCAGTGTCTGAGACTAGGGAAACCTGTCATTTTCGGAACCCAGCCATGAGGTCTGAAAAAGGAGCTGGCCTTGAGAGGGACTCCGAGCTGGCTTCACTTGAACCCCTTTCGCAAAGACCTGAGATACCTGGCCTAGTTTGCCAGGAGTGGCTCGTGCAAACACATCTGGATGCAGAAAAGTAGTAGTCTATGGCAAGATGAAGGAGTGGTTGTAGGGGGAATTTGTTCCACTTGTGCAGCAGAATCTGGAAAAGGATTTTGAATCCAAAGCTTGGGGAAGACCTGAGGAGTTTTGTCTGCCCTACAGTGTTGTGTCTACAAAGAATATGGTCAATGGGAACAACAGACCAGTTTGCATTTAAAAAAAAAAAAAAAAAAAAAAAAAAAACCACCACCATAATGTCTTCTTGAAGAATATTCAGTTTGATGAGATCCCTTTTTGAGGGATTTTGCTGATTAAATTGTCAAAACCTGACTCTGAAAAGGGATTCTAAGTCTTTATCCTACACTCCTTGAAAGGGTTGTTTCCCAGTTTCTGGATTTGTTCAGATCATTCAGGTTTGCTCTAATTGTTCCCAGTTTGTGGTCTCTGACTGCAGTCAGTGGGCTGTAGTACTGTATTAAATTATATGAACCTGTTAGTTCCTTGGCTTTCACCTGGCAGACAGTGTGGAAGTTGGAAGGTCTATTTTTTAATCCGCAAGTCTGAGAATCTCTTGATTCTCCATGTCCACTCTGTTTTCAGTCAACCTCAGAATTTTGCTTAGGAGAGGAGTTGATCCATATATTTGCTTGCCTGTATTCTTAAGAAAATACTGAACAGATGTGTGCATGTCAGAATAGTGTGTGAAGAAAGCCTGACATAAGAAGAGAGATTACTTTGTCACTTACTGTTTGCTATTTGTGTGTCTTAGCATATGTGTTGTCATGGCAGGTGTGTTCATCCAGCTTAGGGGCATCATGGCAAAGTGACCTGTGATGATTCTAGCCTGTGGTGTTTGGTAGGAGACTGAAGAACTGATAAGAATGCTGCCTGGGGAAATGATCTGTATGTCTTAGTGCCTAGGTTATAAAGAGTCATCTTTGTGAGAGGGCAAATCTCAGTGAGACTTTGCACATCAATCCTTACGAGTATTTTGTGTTTGTGAAAGGAAAGAAATACAGGCGTCTTGCGACGGTGTGGATAATCTGCTTTTTAATCCAGTCTTTACAGATACGCAGCTGGTGGCTAGTTTTGGAGGCTGAAAGTGCAAGCTGACCATGGTTCAAAAAACAATTAGGAAAAAACAAATTGCAACTGTCTTGACTATAACTACCAGGAACCACATCCACTTTTCATGAGTGATAGTTACGTATTCACATCCTGGCTTTTTACTGACAACACATGCATTCTGTTTCCATTTTGATAAGTTGGTCCAAAACCTGTTTGAGCTTGGAACATTTGTGTTGTTTCTCTGTTTTCGCTAAGGACATCTGTCTTCTACATAAGGACACATTTTCTTTCTTGTATCATTTGCAGTTACTGTCCCATCAAGACCAGAATGTGCAGAGAATAGCTCTTGACTGTATAATGACATACAAACATCCTCATCTACTACCATACAGGTAGAATCTTTTCTATTATTTTTGGCATCATTGAATGAGCCTTCTGTTTCAGAAGCCTGCTTGAGGTCAGCTGCCTCAGAGAACCTCTTTCCTGTATTTCTTAAAGACATGATTCTATGTATAAATTTTAATTTTAGCTAGCTGTATATTTCCTATCTAAAACAGGAAATAAGACCCTGATGTTGGTCAGTGTCTATTCTGTTTACAGGAAAGTGCCAACACTTTCATTGTGTCCCAGAATAATGTGTGCTTAGTAGTTGAATTATTTCAAAAAGTGCTGTTGTACTGATGATTTATAACCATCCAGAGAAAGTGACAGCATAAAACTGTAGTTTGTGGTGGAATAATCTCTTCAGAATGTGTCCAGGAGGTGCTTTCCTACATTATTAACTTAATGGCTTTTAAAATATTTTTTGATAATAGGCTGGGAACATAGTACTGTAATACTTTATATACAACATAGTTTAGATAGGCAATCGGGCACAGATGTAGGCATATGTGTATGTTTGTTTATTTTTATAAACCCTGCCTGCCCTCAAATCATGTTTATTCTCAGGGAGAACTTGCAAAGGCTACTGGAGGACAAGAGTTTTAAAGAAGAAATAGTCCATTTCAGTATTTCTGAGGAGACTGCTGTAGTAAAAATGGAGCATCGACCAGATCTCATCCCTGTTCTCATGAGGTGTGTCACGAAGCGCAGGCTTCAGAGTTTCGTGTCAAAAGTACCATGAGCAGAAATGTAATGCAGCTGCTTCTTATTTTAAACAGTTAGGGGAAATCTCTGTTTGACTGTACAGTTTGATGACTTAGTTTATGATGTTCTGTATGGTTTCCTTTATTAACACATTTATGCAACATGTTAGGCAAATGGTGTTTTCTTTTAAAACTGCATTTTGGTAAATACTGTTTCTGCTAAGGCTTACAGTGTACTGTGAAAACATTTCAGTTCCCTGAATATTGCCACTTACTTTGACTAAGATACAGTGATTTAAGTTATTGTGCAGAAAACTACTTTTACACCTGCAGTCTCCAGCAAAACTTCCATTGTAGTAGCAGAAGCTGATCTTCCACTGGGATGTTTTTGAGCAATGTATAACAGTATATTCAGTGGAGACCCTGAAGGGGGGTCTTCCATTCATCTTGTTGTCACTAGAGAATATTTTTAGATGGAGTTGCCCCTGCAGAATAAGAGGCTGGGAAATGGACAACTTGCTGAAAGCTAATGCAACTTCTTTTTGGCTCTTGAAGAATTCTCTATGGCAGAATGAGAAACAAAACAGGGAGCAAAACACAGGGCAAGTCTTCAGCAGGCACTCGCATGTCCATCGTTCTGCGATTCCTTGCTGGCTCACTGCCGGAAGAGATACGGATGTTCTTGGATCTACTCTTTGAAGCTGTGAAGCAATTCAGTAATGGTGGGTACAGGCAGTAGAACCTGGGGGTGTGGTGCTTCATGACCTGTAGAGATGTGTTACATCAATGCCGTTACACGCTTCAGAATGTCTCTAACAGTCCCTTGGAAGGACGAAAGGATGAAAGTAAACTTTTGATAATGACTGGGATTCCTGTGGGCTTTTTTTTTTTTTACAAAATGTGATTGCTCTGTTTTACAGCTCCAGGGTCAGAAAAATGGAATAACTTGCCACAGCTATGTCAGTAAGCTAGAGCAGGCCAGGAATGAGCAATTGCTGGCATTGTAGACTAGTCTGCCTACTATGGCAATAAACAGAGGATGTAAAATGCCCTGATATTGTACCAGTGGGAAGTATTTGTGTGTCACAGAGAGACTGAGACCCAGAGCTGTCTTCATGCAAAAAGCTGAATGTGCAGGTCTCTTAATTTAGGGCCAGATTATACTCTTTTTCACTGAAAATTGATTTTGGTGGTGAGTATCTTCATGGTGCTTCTCTAGATAAGTGGCTGTCCCATTGCCTATTGCAGGGCCTTGCCAGACTGCAGTGCTTCGAAGTATGTCAGAGCTGGATTTAGCTAAAGTCCTGCCTCTTGGACGTCAGCATAGCCTCTTCAACAGCCTTGAAGTTGTGCTGAAAAACATGGGACATTTGATCCATCAGTACCTGCCTGAAATTCTACAGATTCTGCTCTGCATGACAGCTGTGGTATCCTGCATCCTTCAGCAAAGAGAGAAGGTACAGTATATGCAAACAATATACAAGCAAACATGTAAATTAAATTCCTTTCTCTCCTCCTCCCCTTAGCTTCCATGTGTATGCACAACTTTGCTGGTTCAGGTAAACATAAGTTTAATGTCAGCATGGCATGAAGCTTAGCAGCTAGATGTCTGTCGAAATAGATACAAATGATGTTTGTCTGAAAGTGCTACAGGGCTCAGGCAGTGCAGGCAGAGTTTTTGTTTGAGTTGCTGAAGCAAAAGTTGAAGTTGATCTCTCTGTGTTGTTACCTGTGTGCTCTGTGGAGAAAGGGGCATGAGGGAGAGCTAAATGGTCTGTTGTAAGGACATAGAGCCTATGGCTGGAAGTTTAAATTTGCCTTTAAAATTTAGTTTTTTGGCTGCAAGAATAAAATATTTGAACAGGGAACACGGAGGACTTAAATTTTCCTTGCCTGGGGACTTCAGAGGAAAACTTGTCTTGGAGGTGTTTTGTTGCAGTGCCAGACCCAGGGGGGGAGGGGAGCTCAGCATTGTGGATGACCACAGTGGTTATCTACAGTGATAATCATCTCCTGTCATGGGACACAAGGAGAATGTGGCTATCAGCCATGCTTTCAGCATACTAGAAACACGTTCACCTCTCTGTCAGGAGTAGTCATGGTAATCCAGTGTTACAATTTGGGTCTCAGCCAAGTATCTGCAGAGCACTCTGAGGTTGTTTTTTTTTGTTTTTTTTTTTTCCTTTGCAGTGCAATGGCTGTACATGTAGAAAGGTCAGGTAAGGAAAACATTCTGTTAAAGATTGGCTGCACCTAAACATGAGGTCTCTTGGCTTACTGCTGCCCTGTGCCCAGGAGAGCAGCACAGAGATCCCTGAGCTCTAGCCCAGCTAGCTCAGCGGGTCTGTTGCCAACTGTTTGGAAGCTATGAGACTGAGCCAGGCTTTTCTGTCTTTCTGAAACCAGTGCCTTTGCCAGACTTCAATCCAAATAGGAAGAGGAAAGCTCGAATCTGGCCTGTTGCAAAGCCTCATCACATGACAGGTGCAAAACAAGCAAACTGCAGAGTCATCATCATCACTGAGGTGTTGGGAGGAGTTATGAGATAGTAGACCGAGCAAGTGATGTTAAGTAATGAAAGTTTTGTCAGAGGTTAGAATTTGCATTGAAAACAATTGGTCAAAGCAAGCCCTTGCAGTCAGGTGGCATCCAGGGTGCCATAGTTGCCTGCAGACTGCACAGAAACTTCATATGTCTTTGTTTATGAAGGCAATGAGCAAATATTAGGTTAGCAGCATCCCACTGTCTGATTTAGGCACAAGCAATCCATTGCTTCCATATTTTAAACTGGGATAGGAGTTTTGAAAGCTGCTTCATTCATTGCTGGGATGGTCACGTTTTGCCAGGGTTACTACCATAATCCTGTCGCTGTTGTAACCCTGTTGCTGTTGCGTAATGTGTGGAGTGACAGTGTCATTTGTCTGAACTCAATTTAGCACTTCATTAGCCCATGAGATACTAAAAGCTCAAGGAAGAGTGTGAGAAATCTCCTTATCTTGGCTAATGATTAGAAGACATTCTTGGAGTTTGAGAGTAATTTATTGTAGGCTGATACTGCCTGGAGAGTTAAACATGAACTTTGACTGTTTTAAGCCAAGTTACTAATTTTCCATTTCCTACTGATTGTATTCAGTATTGAATTTCTTTAGTCCTCTGGGATCAAGTCTTTTAGAGGACACTCACGATGATTGAACAGTGGGAGATTCAAAATTATTTCACTTGTATTAGCATTAGCAGTCTGGTTTGTGCTGTCTTTGGCCCTTCAAGCAGCTTATTTGCTGCCCAGAAGCACAGTTGTGCACTGTTAGTATACATTCAGAACAGGCTGGGAGGTCCTGAGCAAGATCACGTTTGGTTCCTTTTCCACTATCTACTCTTGTCATTTTACCTGTGATTTTGGGTGCAAAGGAAGTATAGAAGTGTATCGCATAGTAGAGGCTCATGTCTTCAGAAGTCCGTAGGCCAAATAAGAGGTGTGATGTCTTCCAGTGAGGCTTTAACACAAAAGCTGCTTTGCAAAATAAGAGATACAAGTATTTATTCTGTGTGGTAGATTACTTACTGGAGACTCTGAGGAACCTAAGACATAGTTCCAGCCTTAGACAGTGGCCTTTATTTGCTTTGACGTGGCTTTGTTTCTGAGACTGGAGTTCAGTGCCTCTGCACTGTGGAGCTACCTCAGCTGTTTGTGCTGAGAGCTGCATTGCACAGCGTGGAAATAACTTAGGTTACTCAAGACTCTTCTCCCTGAGAAGAGTCAAAAGGCAGCAGTTCACAAATAACTTCATGTTTAGTTGTGTGGCTGATTTTGTTACTGAAATGTTTTCACCAAGAAAGGCTGTGGAATGTAACCACTGAATGGGTACAGGAAGCGTTCTCCTGTAACCAAATTATATACTTCCTTCCTGCACCATTGGAGGAGGTGAATCACATTCTTGCCTTCTGTATTCCTCCCCCTTCTCCTTGTCTTTTGACTTCTTTTCTTCCCAGTAGATCTCAATGTGCAACATACAACTTTAATTTCAAGAGCTGATTTGGGTCCTTTCCTGTGTAAAATAGTTATTATTTAAGTGTCAGGACTGGAAATGTAACTGTGGTGTAGTGTTTTGTGCAAAAAGAGCAGATGCTACTTTAAACCTGTCAGCATGGATTTTCATGAGCTGAAGGAGTCCTAGAATCATAGAATGGCTTAGGTCAGAAGGGACCCTAGAGATCATCTAATCCAACCTTCCTACCATGGTCAGGGACAGCTCTCAACTAGACCAGGTTGCTCAAAGCCACATCCAACCTGGCCTTGAACACCTCCAGGGAAGGGACATCCACAACTTCTCTGGGCAAACTATTCCTGACTCTTGCCACCCTTATACTGGAGAACTTCTTCCTAAGATTTAGTCTAAACCTACTCTCCTTCAGTTTTAAACCATTTCCCCTTGTCCTGTCACTGGACACTCTTGTGAAAAGTCCCTCTGCCACCTTCCTGTAGGTTCCCTTCAGCTATTTGAAGGCAGTTATAAGGTCCCCCCAGAGTCTTCTCTTCTCCAGGCTGAACCATCCCAGTGCCCTCAGCCTATCCTCATAGCAGAAATACTCCAGCCCCTGGATCAACTTTATGGCCCTTCTCTGGACTCGTTCCAACAGTCTACATCCTTTTTATGATGGGGACTGGTAATGTCTGTTTTATGGGTGAGGTTAGGAACAGGCATCTCTTAGAAAAATTCAGGTCAGCTGTGAGAGCTGGGTTGCTACGTGAACAATTACAGGAGAAAACCAGAACATTGTGATAGTTCTAGGAAAGGTTTTATCTGTGGTCAATGAATTGCTGTATTTAATTTCAGAGCAAGTAGTTAGTTGTTCTGCAAAGGCCTTACTGGAGTCTTTGTTTATTTTTACAGGTCCAACCTAGGTTGATTAATCCACTGAAGAATTTGAGGCGGCTTGGACTCAAGCTTGTGACAGAGTTTTTTTCTGATTATGAGACCTACAGCTTTAGTGTGGAAGAGATTGATGCAGTTTTCCATGCAGTGGTGTGGCCTCAGGTAAGTATTTCTTGTTCCTCCAAGCAGCTTGTGTGTAACACGGACCATGCAGAGAGCTCCACTGTGTCAGTTATATACATCACAGGATTGGATGTGGACTTGGATAGATGGGATTATGATGGTGTCTATACAAGGCCAGTTTCTTGGCTGGTGTCTGATAAGCTCTGGAATAATCCAGAATATTATCTAATTATATATAATTATATATTTATTACATAATATAACATTAATCAT